AAAGGGCCCTGTACGTCATCTTCAGCAGCGGCAGAGCAACGTTTCCAAAGGCTTTTCCATAATGACATTTAGAAGTAGTTTACCTTGGTTTCTAGGAAATTAATTGGCTTAATTTGAACAAATGTTTAGCTTTTTCGGTGTAAAACTTAATTGCCTTTTTGCGTACTGCAGACAGTGGGCGCAAGATAAGAAATAGAATGTCGTACATTGTTTCTGCTTTGCTGTAGCTGGCTAGCCAGTCATTTGGCTAGCCAGTCATTTGGAATAAATCAACCCTGCGCCTGGTTTGGACTCGAATTAAATGTGCCTTGCCTTCCCCCGCTCCCGCCCCCTGCTGAAGCCCGTTCTGACGGAGGGCGGGCTGGTGGCATGGTGAGCGTTCCCGGGGTGCTCAGTCCCTCGGGGGGGGACAGACCTTGACTACTGTCCGCGCAGGAATCGGCAGTGCCGATGGCTCACGCGCCGGGGGAAGATGTCGCTCCCAGTGGTTGCCTGCTCCCGTTCAGAATGCAGCGCAAGAGGAAGGGCAAGCTTGGCGCGGGGCAGAACCATCGCCTCGCCGCAGCCTTCGGAGCTGGGGCTGCTCCGTGGCTGCTCCATGCAGTTCCCTGTCTTGTTCTTTGGAAACAGAAACCTGAGTACCTGGGAATAACAGGTATGACAGTGACAGCAAGGAAGGACGCCCTTGCGTTTCAGCTAAATAAGTAGTTATTAGTCTCAGGTGTCGAATACAAGCAACAGTTTAGATCCTGTTGACGTGGGGGAAATACAAATAGAAACACTTGTTCAAATGTCTGTAAAGATTATTTTGCTATTTTGAATTCTGAAAGCCCTTGGCTTCTGCAGCAGCTTAGCCAAACGCTCTATGAAGTATTTTACCATTATTCTGTATGGGGCCGTGGCTCAGTTTGATATTGCTAAGCAGCGTAAAATTCTCAGTTGATTTTTTGTTTTGCCAGGTCTCAGCTCAAACAGATGATTTGTCATCTTCCCCTTAGAGAGAGGCTGGGGTCAAGAGGAGGTGGCTTTTCTGGTCCCTCTGAGCTGCCGGGGCACGCTGAAAGCACTCGCCAGGGTCCGGCTCCCTCTCGCGGGGAGCTGCGCAGCAAGAACCTGCAAAGGGGAGCGCAGGGAGATGGACGCAGCATCCGCAGGGAAAGCTCGGGTTCTGTGCAGTGGTTTTCTCTACAGTTACTGTTCTGGTAATCCTGGTCCTTCCTCTAGGTTTTAAGCTCTTTGTAAAGAGAACAGCTTCATCTCTGCTCCTTTATTGGCAAGTGCTGGGCTCTCCGTGTTTGTGCATTCAGCGTGGTTCTAGCCCCGGGATAAAGGCAGGCCTAGTCTCTACAGCCGGGCTTGTCTCAAACTCTCCAGTTTCATGACAAGAAATAACCCTCCTTTAGAAAAAGGTAAAATGCAAGCAGCAGGTTAACTGAAGCCCAGATCACCAAAGGATTCCTCTGCTGTAACTGTTCACCACTAACGGCCTTTAGCTGTTCTGAGGAACACTGCCTTGCATTGCATTTTCCGACAAAAGCATACTGCACTT